CCCTCCATGCCGGGGTCCCTCAGCTTCCGTGGCTTTGCTGTCACCGCTCCAGCCTCGGCCAGGGCGGGGAGGGAGCCTCCTAGGCTGGGAAGGCAGGGGGACCCCATCTCCAGATGGGGCCGGCACAATCACAGGGCTGGGCGGACCCGCAGCTGCAAACTCTGACACAAAAGACGTGCCTTAAGGACCCGCCGCCGCTGTACCCAGGTGCCCCATGGGGCAGCTAGCTTGGTCCCTCGGCCAGAAGACCACAGCATCCCCCTCCCCCAGTCCTGCCCTCCTGCCACCCCGGGGGCAGGCAGGCAGGCCCCCTCCCCTGCGGAACCGTTAAATTATTCAGCTCGCTGGCTTTGCACAGCCTGTCCTGGGCCCAGCCCTGAGCCCCAGGTGGGCGCAGGTGGGCATCACCTGGGGACCCCCACTGTCAGCAGCACCCCCGGGACCCCTCTCCCAGCAACTCCACTGCTTCCCCCTTCTTGGTATTAAGTGCAATTAAGTCCGTGGGTGTCACATCTTCTCCAGAGCTGGGCCCTCCCTTGCCCTGGCAGCCTGAGATGGGAGCACTGGCCTACCTGGCTGGGGGGAGGGCAGCAAGGGGCACGGCCTCCAGTTTCCAAAGAGCCGCAGGCTGCGGGGCCGGGAAGTGCCCGCGCCTACCCCAGCCAGGGCTGGGTGCTCCACAGCTCCAAGACCCCACACCCCATGCGCCGCTGGTTTGTAATGGAACCTTCTCCGCGCTCCTACTCTTCCTGGAGACTGTGCTTCTCCCGTGCAACCCCCCTTGACTATTGTGCGATTTGTGAGCGCCGCCTGAGCGGAGTCGGTAACTTGTTGGGTTTTTTTCCAACCATCATGGCCTTATCTGTTCCAGTTTTCTCAGTGTTTTCAACCTGTGAGATGTTTATGGCAAAGAAAAAAACAAGAAAAAAGAAAAAAAAAAGGAAAATCTGACCTATTGTATAGAAATCACTATTTTGTGTGCTCCGCGTGCTACAGCTTTTGGGGTGGCCCTGCGCACTCCCCCATGCCCACGGGGCCTCCCCTCTCCCAGCGGTGAAAGTGTCCACACATGTGGTAGTTTAGTGTGCCGAGCTGTTTTCTACCTTTTTGTAGTCTTTCTTAAAACACAATAAATTACGCTGTGATATTTGCCTACTGCTGACTTGCTGGGCCTTGGTGGGGGCCTTGGGACTGGGGGCTCTAGGCTGCAGTAACAGGATGTCGGCAAGGCTCAGAAATAAAACATTTATTACATGAAGAGGAACAAAGTAGGTTTCCCACCTTGGGAGGGGGAGGCTGGGGTGCATGGGAAGAACAGGGGGGTCTGCTTGGCCTCCCCGAGAGCAAAGTCCACGCCTGTAGCTGAGGAAGAGGGCAAATCACAACGATGGAGGGCCTGTGCCCAGCTTGGGGTAAAGGCGGGCGCTCGAGGCTGGTGGGGCAGGGGACTCCTTCCCACTGCCCCTTCCCAACTTAAATAGGCATAAATAAAAAGCGTCCAGACTCTCAGGCCACCAGGGACTGCCCCGCCCAGCCCCCTTCCCGCAGCCTAACACTAGTGGTGGTTGGCTGGCCGGCCAGGAGGAGGCCAGCCCAGGAAGGCAGCCAGCTCCCAGGCCGCGGAGGTAGTTGGAGTCAGTGTCCAGGGTGGCCGGGCCCTCACAGCACAATCCACGTATATCGCTCGCTGTCTGCCAGAACCTTTAGTGAGCACCCTGTGGAGAGGGTGGGACACAGCTGTGGAGACACTGCCTGTCCAGGCCCCACAGCCACCCCCACTGACTTGAGCCCAGGAGGTTCCAAAAGGCAGGGTCCTTTCTGAGTTCATCTCCATCTCCAGCCTGCAGCCGCCTGATAAATGTCTGAGTGAGACAGGCTAGAGGTTCCCAGGTACCACCACTGCCAGGCCCTGTCCGAGCTGGCCCCCAGGCTGCCCTCCCCCCACCCCCTTTCCAATAGTGTCCAGCCTTCTCGTCCATTCAGCCAACACTTATGAATCAGCGCCTGCTCAGGGCTGGCCTGGAGCCTGGGGAAGGGCCAGTGTCCCTGCCAGTGAGGACCTCGGTTTTGCCCACCACTGGGTCACCAAGCCCCACCTTTGTGCAGTGCCTCGTTGGTCATCCTGTTGACGTAGCGGCCGCTGCTCTCGGGCACCAGCCACTTCATGACCATGTCCACACAGCTCTTGCGGTAGGAGCTCCAGACGCTGCCACTGAAAGGTGAGGCAGTTAGTGGCTCTCAGGGTCTAACCCCCCACCCCAGCCCCACCCCTGGCCCTACCTCACCTGGTTTGCCCTTTGACCTCAGTGAGGTCACCCACACTGACTGTTTCAAAGATGCCTGTGTTGAGGTCCCATGCCACCTTGAGGCTGGTATGATAGGTCTTTGGTCTGCAGAAGGGAGACAGAGGAGAAAGGGGGTGGGACAACTGGGTCACTGAGCAAGGACCCAGGCTACCCTGCGGGGCTTTTGTCTTTGAAGCAGTAATGGAGTGGCCAATCCAGGTTTTGGCACATGCCCACTGACCCACACTGAAGTGCCTGAATGTGGCCCCTTCCGGGCGAGGGAAGGGCAGGGGTCCCTGTCTACTCACCGAAGCTGGCCCTCCTCAGTGGGGGACGGGAATGCCAGGAGCAGCAGGCCAATGTTGATGAGGACCTGGTTGGTTTCTGGGCAGACCTGGGCAGTTATGGGGTGGATGGTGACAGCAGTTGAGGGTGACCCCCCGAGTGGTGGAGGCCCTGGACCCACCCTGCCCCACTCCCTGGGCCCACCTCCAAAATGACTATGTCATAGTCACTGAAAGAGCAGAATTGGTGGCCCCAGGTGGCATCGTGGCGGATGACCTCATTGATGACGTACTCAAAGTCCAGTGTGAGCTGCTCCACTGTCAGGTACTGACCCTATGGGCAGGTGGGCAGACAGGTAGGGGAGGATCACACCAGCCGCCACCCAGCAGGCTCCCCGGGGCTGCTCCTCGGCCTGCCCACCACCCAGCACCAACCTGGACGGCAGTCCGCTCCCGCATGGGCCGCAGATTGCGGCCACGGAGGTCGGTCACCACAAAGGGCAGGGAGATCTTGTCATCCTCGAACTCTGGGGAGGCAGGAAGTGGGGGTAGGGGCGATAGGAGGCCTCAAGGCCCCCTCTGGGCCGGCCTCCCCTCCTGGGGTCTGGCCTGCTGAGTGGGTTCCCTGCTCACCATCCTCTGGCTCTGTCCGCTCGCCGGACTCCAGCACATAATACAGCTTGGTGTAGTTGATGTAGCCAGGCTCGGGAGCAGGTGCCTCTGCTGCAGGGGGGCTGTCCCGGGGCGCCGCCTCCCCACATGGGGTTAGGGGCTCAGATTGCAGGCGGCAGTGGCTGCCTGAGGGCCCTGGGCAGGGTGGTGGCCGGGCTTCCTCCGGAATCCCACCCTTGGCCTCTTTGGCCCTGCGGAAGATGTCGGCCACAAACTCCTTGGCTTTGGCGATGGCAGGTGAGGGCTCGGGGGTGTCAGAGGGCTGGGCTGGGGCAGCCTCAGGACAGAGGCTGGGGAGGGAAGGGGGCACCTCTGGGTTCTGGGGTCCAGGGGGGCTGGGAGGCACCGGGGGGTAGGTTGTGTGGTCGTACAGGATTTGGCAGAAGCTGCTGTCACCTGGAAGAAAAAAGGTGATGGAGGTGGGAGGAGGGGTCAATAAGCAAGTTCAAGTTCAAGTCCAAGACACCCTCCCAACCTCCCTCATTGCCCTGAGTTCTTAGAAATCCACCTTGAAGAGACCCTTCCAGGAGATTTACCCATGCTGAGATCAGTTTGATACACCCAGAAGGGAAAAAGATGTTTATGCACATACCACGCACACACGTGTACACACACATTCAAGCCTCATTCTTGAGCATCTATGGTATGCCACATGCTGAGGACACAGGAGCAAACAAGACAGACAAAACCCCCGCCCCCAGGGAGCTGACAGTCTGCAGCGAAGACAGATAAAAGCCACATAAGTAAGTTAGAGAGTTCACTACATAGCCCTCCATCCTTCCCAGCACCAGCCAGACCGGTGTGGGCACAGACTAGCTGGACCCACAGCCTCTATCTAGAGACCAGGTCCCCCTTGAGGAACGTCCCCCCGGCACGTTCACCCAGCAGCACTGTGGCTGGCCCCACATGAGGCCTGCTTTGAGCCCCCACCAGCAACCCTGGGAGAGAGGGCTGTGTTTCTGGACTGAGGCTGAGAGAGGAACTTGGCCAAGGTCACACCGGGAGATAATGTAAGTCTAGGCTCCTGTCTGCCAAAGTGCTGGCACTTCCGGCAGGGAGGGGAATAAAAGTTGAAAATGGCCGAGGAAAAAGTATCCCTCTGTGTAAGTGCTCTCCTAGGGTGAGGTAAGTGTTAACACCCACAACCAGGCCCTTCCCTGGGCTGGGCGCACACAGCTGACTCCCGTCTGCTCTGATGTGGTCCTTCCTACCAGGGCCCACGGCCGTGCGGGCAGGGGTGTGGCGATCCTGTCCAGGCCTAGCATGCTGGGGGCTCACGGCCAACAACCAGGTGACCAAGCCCTGGTGAGAGGCAGTGCTCACCATCACGACACAGGTGAGGGATGGACGGAAGACCCCTGGATGTGTCCAGGGACAGGTGCCCTGGCCCCTTACTTCTTTTAGGCTTAGT